TTTGATGTATTTATTGAAAAATGACCATATATCTGTGGTCTATTTCTGTTCTCTATATTCTGCTTTATTAGTCTAATGTGTTGATACTTATACTAATGTCATACCATTTTGAATACTGTAGTAAGTCTCAAAGTCAGCTTGGTAAGTCCTCTAAATTTATTTCATGTTTCTATTTCTATTTATTTAATGTTTCCTTTTCTTCTGAAATTTCATCAATTTGATTGTCAGTATGCTAATTCATTTATCAGGTGTATCCATTCTACTATTTACACCATGTTTTTTTTTTAACTTCATCTACATTTCTCAGGACTGTTATTTGTGCCTTTTTCCTTGTCTTTTTTCATATTGTCAATATCTAGTACTTTTATTTAGTTTTAAAAATTGTTTTCTAGAACCTCCAGAAAAAATTACTACTTTTTAAAAATTTTTTATTTGAGACGATCGCACTGTTGCCCAGGCTGGAGTATAGTGGCACAATCACAGCTCACTGCAGCCTTGACCTGCTGGGCGCAAGTGATTCTCTTGCCTCAGCCTCCCAAGTACCTGGGACCACAGATATGTGCCACTTTGCCAGGCTAATTTTGTAGAGACAGTCTCCCTATGTTGCCCAGGCTGGTCTTGATCTCCCAGCCTTAAATGATCCTTCCACATTGGCCTCCCAAAGTGCTGGGATTACAGGCATGAGCCACCATGCCTGGCTTCTCCTTTATTTTAATGTTTTTTTGGGGCTAATTTTTTGGATACATTTATTCTAATATACCTGCTTCTGCTTGATTTTGTAATCAGTGTGTCTTGTTTTGTTTTGTTTTTAAATGGCCTTCTCAAGTGTCTTAGGATTTTGGCCCTGAAACACATTTTTCCATGAAGGTATAAGTTATTGTGTAAAATGATGCTTTTGGGTGTAGAACAATGTCAGCCTCCTTGAGTTCATGGTGTTTGGAGATGGGAGAGACTCTGATGCCATAAAACCACTATCACTTTCTGCCTCATATATAGCTGCTTTGCCAGTTTTTCACCCTTTGCTCCCCTGAGTGAAGAGACACTAGCAGGCTCTATTAGTCTATTCTTGTGTTGCTATAAAGAAATACCTGAGTGTGGGTAACTTTAAAAGAAAAGAGATTTATTTTAGCTCACAGTTCTGCAGGCTGTACAGGAAGTGTGGTGCTGGCATTTGCTTTTGGTGAGGGTCTGAGGCAGCTTACTGTCTTGGTGGAAGGCAAAGAGGGAGCCAGTGCATCACATGACAAGGGCGGAGCAAGAGAAAAGGGGAGGTTCCAGACTTCTTTAAACAACCAGATTTCATGTGAACTAACTAGCAAAAACTCACTGATCACCCAGGGGAGAGTGTTAAACCCTTCATGAAAGACCTGCCCCCATGATCCAATCATCTCCTCCCAGGCCCCTCTTCCAACATTGGGAATCGCATTTCAACATGAGATTTGGAGCGGACAAACATCCAAACCATGTCATTCCTTAGCAAACTTGGTTGCTTGTTGGAATCAAATGAGGAGCTTTAAAAAAAATAGTGATATTGATTCTCATCCCCAGAGATTTAACTTAATTGTTGTAATTTTACAGCCTAGATCTAGTACTTTTTTTGTTTTACTACTTTAAAATATTTTCGTAATTTGTAGGAAGTTGCAAAAATATACCAAAAAAAAGTATACAGAAGTTGATGTATACCCTTCACTCACTTTCCCACAATGATTACATTTTATATAACCATAGTACAAGATCAAAGCCAGAAAGTTGACATTGGTACAATGTGTGTGCATAGTTCTGCATAGTTCTGTCATTTTATCACACGTGTAGTTTCATGTAACAACCACCACATTCAATACACAAAAAGTCTATTACCACAAGAATATCTCTCATGCTTCTCCTTTATAGTCACATCTCCTCTTCCCCCACCACAATCCCTGAATCTGTCACTAATCTGTTTTCCAACGCTGCAATTTTGTAATTTCAAGAATGTTCTATAAATAGAATCATAGAGATATGATTTTTGAGATTGGCTTGAAAACTCAGAATAATGCCATTGAGATCCAGCCAAGTATGAAATTTTGCTACTTTTTTGATATTGTTGAGTAACATTTTATAGTATGAATGTACTATAATTTGTTCAGCTATTAACCTGGTGAAGGACATTTTGATTGCTTCCAGGTTTTGGCTGTTGAAAATAAGGTAGACCATATGCATTTAATATAATTATTGGTAGGGCTCAATTCTCCATGTTATTTTTTGGGGTGTTTTTTGTTTGTTTATTTCTTTCCTCTGATTCTCATATCTCTGTTTTTGTTTTCCTGCCTTTTCATAGATTACTTGACATTTTTTAGAATCCCATTTTTTATATCTACAGTATTTTTGTAGTATTTTGAGTGTCTATAGATTTTTCAGTGGTTGCTCTGTGAATTGCACTTACCACGATCCACTGGTGTCACATTTTATCGCTTTGAATAAAGTATAGAAATCTTGCCTCCTTTTAAGTCCTTTTATCCTCCCCCATTTATAATTGTCTTAATAGATACAGATTAATACTTCTTTAGCCTGGGATTTCATCTTTTATTAGCTATTATTTTGTTGAATATTTTCTTTACTCTTCCCTACTGGGATTTTGATTAGGTAAATATTGGACCTTCTTATTCTATCTTTTACGTCTGTTAACCTCTGTTTTGTATTTTTTCATTGTTTTATCTGTGCTCTCATATAAGACCTCTGATCTACTTTTTTTCTCCAGTTTACCAGTTATCTCTTTGGCAGTGTCAATCTGTGTTCTTAACTTGTTCACTGAGTTTTGTAATTTTTAAAATTTTGATATTAGTTTAATTTTGTGAAGTTCTGTTTGGTTTTTTTCCAAATTTGTTGGTTATTTTTTCTTTACATATACTATTACTTATTTTATGTCTTTGTATTTAAACGTATGTATTTATTTTTTAAATCAATTTTTTTATTATACTTTAAATTCTGGGGGTACATGTGCAGAATGTAAAGGTTTGTTACTTAGGTATACACGTGCCATGGTGGCTTACTATACCCATCAACCTGTCATCTACATTAGATATTTCTCCTAATGCTATCTCTCCCCTAGTCCTGCCACCCGCCAATAGGCCCCAGTGTCTGATGTTCCCCTCCTTGTGTCTATGTGTTCTCATTGTTCAACTCCCACTTATGAGCGAGAACATGCGGTGTTTGGTTTTCTATTCTTGTGTTAGTTTGCTGAGAATGATGGTTTCTAGCTTTATCCATGTCCCTGCAAAGGACATGAACTCATCCTTTTTTGTGGCTACATAGTATTCCATGGTGTATATGTGCCACATTTTCTTTATCCAGTCTGTCATTGATGGGCATTTGGGTTGGTTCCAAGTCTTTGTTATTGTGTACAGTGCTGCAATAAACATATGTGTGCATGTGTCTTTATAGTAGGATGATTTATACTCCTTTGGGTATATACCCAGTAATGGGATTGCTGGGTCAAATGGTATTTCTATTTCTAGATCCTTGAGGAATCACCACACCCTCTTCCACAGTGGTTGAATTTACACTCCCACCAACAGTGTAAAAGTGTTCCTGTTTCTCCACATCCTCTCTGGCATCTGTTATTACCTGACTTTTTAATGATCGCCATTCTAACTGGCATGAGATGGTATCTCGGTGTGGTTTGGCTTTACTTTTTTTTTTTTTTTTTTTTTTTGAATCTCATTTTGTCACCCAGGCTGGAATGCAGTGGTATGATCTTGGCTCACCAAAACTTCTGCCTCCCAGGTTGAAGTGATTCTCCTGCCTCAGCCTCCTGAGTAGGTGGGATAACAGACATGCACCACCACACCCAGCTAATTTTTATATTTTTAGTAGAGATGGGGTTTCACCATGTTGGTCAGGCTGGTCATGAACTCCTGACCTTAGGTGATCTGCCCGTCTTGGCCTCCCAAAGTGCCACCATGGTGGGATGAGCCACTATGCCCAGCCTGATTTGCATTTCTGCAATGACCAGTGATGATGAGTTTTTTTTTTCCTGTTTGTTGGTTGCATGAATGTCTTCTTTTGAGAAGTGTCTGTTCATATCCTTTGCCCACTTTTTGATGGGGTTGTTTGTTTTTTTCTTGTAAATTAGTTTACATTCTTTGTAGATTCTGGCTGTTAGCCCTTTGTCAGATGGATAGATTGCTAAAATTTTCTTCCATTCTGTTGCCTGTTCACTCTGATGATAGTTTCTTTTGCTGTAAACACATGTATTTCTAAGTTTCTATTTGATAGTGCTGTAGTCTGAAGTTCTTAGGGATCTAATTTAGTTTGTGTGTCTCTTGGCTGCCACTAAGGTTGGATCGTTTCTTAATGTGTTTTCAAATTTTGTATTATGAGATCATTTTCTGTAGGCTTTTGTCTGGGGTTTAGTTCTCTGCTTGGGTTGAGAGCATGCCTCTAGAGTTTTGCCAGGAGTTCCTGATTGTATGACCAATCGGGAATCACATTTTATTTTGATGTCTTAGATTGAGATTAAGACTCTCTGTTGTTATTATTTTCCTGAGCGTATCAAAAATTGACAAGGTGTTTTTCTCTAGTCTGACCTTCTCCCTAATGGTATATCTCTCCATATTTACTTGGGACACCTTAGTTCTATTCTTTGTGCTGTAGACATCTCTATGGCTTCATCTTATTGTCTGAATTAAATCATAAGACCTTAGGCTATTGAGACAGACAAACCCCAGTCATAGCTAACATAACAGTTCCTAAAATGATTGCTCTGATTTGGCCTTAGGGGACTTAGGGAAGGTACTATTGCCAAAATATAAGCTAATAGTAGCTTATATTGGAGTGATGGATTGAAGATCCCTTCTTATCCTTTATTTTTTAAACTTCCTGGTTTTTTAATGAAAATATTAAAACTGTATTAAAATATTAAGAGGAAATAAGTATATTAGTGTCCTTAAAAGTTTTTAGATTTAAACACACTACAAGATGACAAAACAAAAATTTCAGAATTAGTTTTATTATATTTGTAGACTTTTATATGAAAATACAGAAAAGGATCTTTCTGATACTCAACGACACCTTGCTAAGAAAAAATATGAGCTACAGCTTACCCAGGAGAAAATTATGTGCTTGGATGAAAAAATTGGTGAGTTTTTTTCTCCTAATATTACTTTTATTTCTTCTTAAGTCTGTAGTCTGAAGTTCTTATGAATGAAAAAGAATAGAAAAATGGATTTTTCTTTGACAGCAAAATTTTTTAGACTTAGCGCTGTAAGTACTTAGTGATAAGTTAAAATTTGTCAATGAAGTAGTAGCTAAACTAAGCAGCAACAGTTTGTAAACGTATGATGATAACTTTTAAATTTGAAATATTTTGTGTACTATTGTAGCTTGTCCATAGCTGCTATAATGAAATATAGTACCTATAACTTTTGTTGGAAAGTATACATGTTTGGCTATGTCTATGGTATTACTGGGGTTTATAGTGAAAGTTACTTTTTTAAAGTCTCCTCTTTATGTTTCTTATTAGGATTATTATGAAAATATGGTCATAACTTAATCTTATAAGGTATGATTTTGGTCAGGGCTATAAAAGAACCTATTTTAAAGCAGAGGAAATATTGTTAACGCTTGCTATTATATAGTTCAAGAATGTTTGGTATAAACAACTAGGCAGGTGGTGATAGTATTTATCAAACCAGGAAATATTAAAACAAATATAAAAGCTAATATTGACGGAGAACTCTCATTTGGATATTTTAAGTCCAAATAAAGATCTAAGGTAAGCAGTTGAATATTTAAGTTTGTGTCTCAGAAGAGAAAGATACATATTTGGGACAAATCAGCATATAAATGATATTTTAAAACCATGAAATTACCTAGGGAAATGTAGAGAATGAGGAGAAGAGGATCCAGGACTGAGTAAGAAGAAGCCAAAGAAGTAGGAAGAAGATCCAGAAGTGAGTGTTATTTTGGAAGGCCAGAAAGCAAAGTGTTTTTTAAAGGGAGGGTGTGATCAATTGTCAGATACTTGTGAGAAGTGAAATAAATGAGACTAAAAATATTATTGATTGGATTTGGCACGTTGGAAGGTTTTGTAACACCAAAAAAAGTTTGAATGGAGTGTTGGTTGTAGAAGATAGAGTGGATTGAGGCATAAATGGGAAGTGAAGTGCAGACAGAAAAGAAGTCTCTCAAGTTTGGCTATTTAAGGGTAGGAAGAAAATAGGGCAATAGTTTCAGTGGGCTGTTAGGTTGAATTTTTTTTAAGCTAGGAGATACTAGAGCTGTTTTAGAGATGTACTGATTGTTTGATTGCCAATGGGAGTGAACTCAGATATCAGGACACACAAAACATGTGGGTTGCCTTAAAGGCAATACTGCCTGCAAGAAGAGACATGGTGTATTCTCCAGTACTATATAGATCATGGCCTTGGCATATGAAAATATGGTATTACCTCCCTTAGCACTGCTCCTGGATGGCCCTCACAAGTATTAACCTTGAAGGGATTAACCAACAAGTCTAGTCTAACAGAGCTTTCCTTGTAGAGCTCTAGATCAGTGGTTCTCAAACTGTTATCTGTGTCAGAATCACCTTGAGAGCTAATAAAGATCATTGGAGCCAGCCTCCTTGAAGTATGCGAGGACCAGAGCTTTTGTGTCCCTATCAGTTTCTGTAGGTAAATCTAATACCTTAGAACCCCTAATCTAGATGAGTGGTTCTTACTCCTCATTATGCATTAGAATCACTGGGGAAAGAAGAGGTTTTTAAAACATAAATTGCTGTGCCTACCCCTAGAATTTCTGATTCAGTAGGTCTGGAGTGGAGGTCTAAGAATGTACATTTCCCAGGTGATGCTGATAGTGCTGGTTGAGAAACCACAATTTGAAAACTATTCTTCTATACGAATTATTCAGGCCTTCAGTATTGAGATTGACTTGCAAGAGTCCTCACAAATTGAATCATAATTCCTGGGATGATTTTTTTCCTAGGAGTTTTTATAACACTACTTTAGAAATTTCAGAATATTAGAAGACATTTGATTTTAAAGATGACTTAATTGAATATTTTATTAAGATGTGTTACTTACCAACTTTAGGCTAGAGGGAGGGGAGGGGAAACTAGAGGGAAGAAGTGCCACAGATTGTTTCACTATTCCACTTATTTCACCCACTCTTCCCCTACCAAACATATAAATCTATTTTGAGAGCAATATAGAGCTTTCCTTTTTACTATTCTGATTCAGTGGTAATGTGCTTTTGTGTTTATGCATCATTTTGAGTGTTGTGATTCATTGTAGTTTTTAATTTAAAAAATTTTTAAATTTGGGATATAGTACTCATTTTTAGTAATTAAATATAATATATATTAGAAGTAAGGAGACTTCAAAAAGTATGATAATCTGCTTGAAATAGAAAAAAGATTTTATCTTGATCAAAATAACACTTTTATGATTACATATTTAGATAATTTTACAAGGCAAAATATTGCACAGCGAGAAGAAATCAGCATTCTTGGTGCAACCCTCAATGATCTGGCTAAAGAAAAGGAATGCCTGCAAGCATGTTTGGATAAAAAGTCTGAGAATATTGCATCCCTTGGAGAGAGTTTGGCAATGAAAGTATGTTCTGAGAACTGTGGTTTATAAGAATGTTTAAATAAAATGATAAATATTAAACTATGGTTTAAAAGAACTAGAATCTGAATAAAATATTCAGATTTTCTCAAATTCTTTTCTAGAGAGTTGAAAGTTCAAAATCTGACTTTGAAATATTTTAAGATAGTCTTAGGATGTATGTGTACAAATCCCATAGCTAATATTTTAAATTGATTTTTCTGTTATGAATTAGTAATTAAGATTAACTGACAAAAACTCATTCAAATATCAAAATATAAAGCATGATAATAAAGTAGTGAGACTAATTTCTTTTTAAAAGCATATTTTCAGGTAGTTACTTTGGGAGATAATATGCCCGTTTCATTAAAACTGCCTTTTGTAATTGTGTTTAGACCTAGGAGCACATTTTTACATCATCCTCAGGCTTTGAGAATAGATCTTGTAGGGCTGGTGAATAAAGCTAGATGATAACCTCCATCCCACATTTTTTTTTTTGTTTTAGAAAAAAGATGTTGCCAACAAGGTAGAGAGATATTGATATTATTTTCTAGCTTATAAATTGATTCTGAAAGCATTTCCTAAGCTGTTTTCACAAATGTCTTAAGCAAAAGCAGCATCATTGGAATAAGGGCTTTTCCTGCTCTAAGGCAACTAATTTGTTAAGTTATGTCTCCACCCATCCATTCATTCTTTAAACAAACATTTGTTGACATGTACCAGGTGTTATGTTAGAAGCTGAGGTTGAGGCCGGGCGTGGCGGCTCATGCCTCTAATCCCAGCACTTTGGGAAGCGGGAGGATCACTTGAGCTCAGGAGTTCAAGACCAGTCTGAGCAATATAGTGAAACCCTGTCTCTACGAAAAATACAAAAATTAACTGAACATGGTGGCACACGCCAGTAGTCCAAGCTACTTGGGAGGCTGAGGCAGGAGTATTGTTTGAGCCTGGGAGGTGGAGGTTGCAGTGAGCCGAGATTGTGCCACCCTACTCCAGCCTGCATGACAGAGCAAGACTTTGTCTCAAAAAAAAAAAAAAAAAGGGGGGGGTGGTCGAATGATCTGCCTTCTCAAAGCCTCTGGTGTAATAAGGAGAGAGATAAAGATACTATTATGATAGAATGTATTAAGTTGGAGTTTGGCAAAAACACACCTGATTCACCCTGGGAATTGGGTTAAGGGAGGAGGAAGGTCTGGAAAACCTTCCATTAAGTGATGGTGCCTGGACTACCCTGAAAAATGACTAATCAGTAGTCAGGAGAATATTTAGGAGAAGAAGACAGTGAGAAAGGGTGATCCAGACAGGCTGAACAGCTTAAGTGAGAGTCCAGTGGCTTTCATGAGAGAATTTCATGAGACTTCCTGATAGTTTAGCATGCCCAGAGAACAGGTTGTAGAGAGATAGATGTAGGAGGGCAAAGAAAAGATGGGATAGGCAGACAGTCCTTTCTCTGCTGTGATGCTCATTGCATTCTCTCTCTCTCTCTCTCTCTCTCTCTCTCTCTGTGTGTGTGTGTGTATTTTCCATCTCCTCATATATCTATATCTACATATATAGATGATAACATATATAGATATATGAAGAAATGGGATAGATAAGTAAAAAATAATGAAAGCACATGTGATGTTGAATGTGAGCTCTATCATTATGGATATAGAGGGTCACTGAAATATGATGATGAAATATTACAATTAGGTCTTTATAACAAATATTCTGGCATTTGTAAATTCATATAAAAGATGGATTATAGAGAAATTAGAATAGTGACAGGGACACTAGTTAAGAGAACAGTGTTGAGACCTATATTAGGATAGTAGGGGTATCAATGAGAGAAATAGATCTATTAAGGAAGTAAAATTGACAAGGTGGTGTTTCTGGCTTAAGAATCACATGGATAGTTCCTATGTATGAAGGAAGAAACAGAAACTAGAACAGGCTTAGAAAGGAAAGTTATTGACTGGGTGCCATGGCTCACACCTGTAATCTCAGCACTTTGGGAGGCCAACGTGGGTGGATCATGAGGTCAAGAGATCAAGACCATCCTGGCCAACATGGTGAAACCCTGTCTCTACTAAAAATACAAAAATTATCCGGGCGTGGTAGTGCACGCCTGTAGCCCCAACTACTAGGGAGTCTGAGGCAGGAGAATTGCTTGAACCTGGGAGGTGGAGGTTGCAGTGAGCCACGATTGGGTCACTGCACTCCAGCCGACATTGGGTCACTGCACTCCAGCGTGGTGACAGAGCAAGACTCTGTCTAAAAAAAAAAAAAAGGGGAAAGTTACTGGCAAGTTTGAATTGTCTTTGGGATATGTAGATGAAATATTCAAAGGCTCTTGGATTTTTAGGTTTGGAGGAAAATTGAATTAAAGTTAATAGATGATTTGGGAATCACGAACATAACAGGTCATCAAAGGGTGTGAGATAGTAAATACTTGTGGAAAATGCTGACTCATTATTTTTGAAATTTTAGGGTTTTTTAGGTGGAATTTTGCTTCTCATTATGTTTAAAACATTTTCAAAACACTAACATTTAGAAAAAAATTCTTCACATCTTTCAAAATCTCCTTTTCTTGTGCTGTATCTAATATTTCACATTTTTTCCATTCTGCTGACTCTACCAGTGTTTTCTTTCCTTCACAAGGAATACTGAGTTACAAGTCTACTTCAAAATCAAGAACTTTGTATAAGATTTTATGAAAGTAAGCACATCCATCCTCTGTATGGAAAGTAACTTGTAAGGCAGTGTTAGGCAATCAAAAGAGGAAATGTTTTCTACCGTGATATTTCAGAGCTAAACTAACAACGGTCACTCATTGAAAACTGTTTATATGGAGATTACAGAAATAAATTAGTGTGGAAAAGTCTACATTATAGTTAATAAAGTGATTTTTTTTCTGGTATTCACGGTTTAAAAAATGTTTTACTACTCACTACCAATTAAAATTAGAAAACTCAAGAGCAAATTCATAGATTTTTGGGTAAGAAAAGCCAGAATTATTTGAATAAAGTTATAGTTTGTTTATTTTTTCTAAATATACTTAGCACCATCCTGTCCAGACTGAATTTTGACAGTTAACGTGAATCTACATCCCTAGTTGGACAACATATGAGGTTAAACGAGGAATATTAATTATTATTTGAAAAATTGCTAAACATTGAAGTCGTACAGGGAATATATCTTAGAACATACTGAGATTGTACAAGGAATGATGGTACATTTGAGAAATGGTGGTATAGGGTCATATTAAGAGAAAAATAGGCTAAGAAGATATATTATTGGATTCAATCCAGAAATTTTGTTGCTTTGGATACTTTACGATGTTTCTAGTGAATCTTTTTCTTTAAGATGCACTTCTGTTGATAAAAGTAAGCCCTTTTTAGGCTTATGAAACATATTTTAAGATTAATTGAGTGAGGAACTTTCAAAAGCACTAGTTCAACTAGTTTTTCAGAATTTATTAGAAATGTATTAAATTATATTTCAGAAACATGTAAACCTTCCATTTTAAGCAATATTTTGTCTTTTAGTTCTTCCTTTGTTGGTCTGTCCTTCTTGAAGAGGTTTAACTTTTTTTTTTTTTTTAATGGATATTTTAACAACACACCAATACTGCCAGTTGTGGAATTTGTACCATTCTATGAAAAAGCAAAATGGGAAACTGTAACTAAAAATACCCCAGAGAAGAGCACATGAATAAAGGAAGATAGCATGCACACACACAAGTGTGTGCAAAACTAACACTAAAGAGAGGAACAGAGTTGGTTGGAAAATATAGGTTTGAATTTTAAAAAATCTTTTTACTTGGTTACTTAAGATTTGAAAATTCAGAGGGCAAGGTGAAATCCAGTTATTACTTAGTGAAATAATTTTCTTACTTTTTTAGGGATAATGTTAGCTCTAAGTATCTGTTTATAGTTGGACTAGTTCAGGCTCAATGGCAGTTTTAAAAAGAGGTGTAAGAATGGTATTAGGGCTTTAAGATATTCAAACCCATTTCTGCCTTGACTGACTCCACTAATTCTACTCCCTCACCTTGCCTTTGAAAAAGGAGAATATAGTTTATTTTTCTTATCTTTTCTCTAGGCCTAATACTTACCTCCTTATTAGCTCATACCTAAATATCAGTAGTATACTTTTAAAAATAATTGGATTGGAACAGCTTTTTGAAGAGACTGTTGCTGGCTAATATAAATAATATACTTAATCAAAATTATTCTTAAAAACTAAATTTAGTTATACATGATTGGCTTCTCTGGGTTTTATAACATAAAGAATGTGAGCAAGCAAACCAGTTCTAATCCCAGCATAGAATACCAGTACTCCAATGCCAAACCATTAGTTTGCCTCCAAAAACAGGTGGTTATGGGGTTCTTGTGTTGCTAGGTGACTGCACAAAATATCTTTTAACAAAGAATTTGATTACTGATCTCATATAATTACACCTAAGTATACCCTTTACTTTAATGAACATAATCTATTTTTACCCAGTGCAAATATTCGCATTGATATACTAGGCTTTAAAGTGTGGAAAAGAACAGGGCATACATATTTAAAACAAAATGGAAACCTAAAGGGAAGGGGAAATTATTTTTTTGTTCATTCAGTTTTAACAGAAATAACAGCTTAAGATAATTTTTTATTCAATACTTATATTACTTTTCAAGGAAAAGACCATTTCAGGCATGAAGAATATCATTGCTGAGATGGAACAGGCATCAAGGTAAATCAGTCATTCAACAAATATTTGAGCACTTACATGGGGGCCAAGTACCATGTTGGGTCCAAAGATAATAAGAAACAAGGGGCTTAGTGATACATGTAAGGTGCTAACTCTCTCGTCAAAGTGGGGGCCTAAGTCTGTCTAGGGAACTAAAAGAGGGGATGGTGTTTGCCAAGTAAAATAAGGGGAAGGGAAGGGCATTCAAAGTAGAAAGAATAGCAAAGAACCACAGATCATGTTCACAAGCATCTTGATCTACAAGTAGGTGAGTGTTGTTGAAACCTAGACAGTGAGGAGGGAAGTGAAGGGAGGAGGCTAAATAGGCAGGCAGAGGCTTGTGTTATAGACAAATGAGTATTGGTTATATCCTTTGGGCATTAAGAAATCATTAAAGAATTCTGAGGAGATTTTTGTGTCAGAAGGATAACCAAGCAGAAGAGTTGATGATAAATTTGGGGTTTAAGAGTTGTGGGATAGAAGGAGTGAGGTGCTTTTATGTGAAGGAAAGACACAAGGAAAATGCCAAGTTTCTGGCCAGGGACAAATACTGAACATGTAGAAAGTATAAGGAGAAAAGGTGATTTTACCTCTGAATTTGAAGAACCTTTGGGACCTTATTGTAGACATGTCTAGTAAGCAGTGAAATATGTCTGGGGTGTAATAGGAGCTAAGGCTGCAGATAATTATTTTGGAGTCATTGGGTATAGACGGGGTTGGGAACTGTGGCTATGAATATTGTTTATCTAAGAGAAGGGCTAGAGGGAGAAGAATTGGGAGCCTAGGGCTTGAGCCCTGGAAACCATTAATTTTTAACCGTACAGAGGAAGAGGAATCTGTAAAGGAGACTAAACCCTAACAAAAAGAGGTAGGATGAAAGCTTTCCTAATACTTGATGTCAGAAGTTTTGAAATACTTGGCAGATCATTGACTATTATGTATATTTGTATCCTTTTCATAGTGAAATAATGGCAACATAGAGTAACTCTAATGCACTGTCTTTCCAGTATTTATTCCTATAAATTCAAATGTGTTTAAAATCTCTCCAAATGTTTTCATACTAACTGTCCATCTTATGTCTTGTGAGAATTGGTTGCTCTGTTTCAGTAAAATGTCTTTCCTTATGTACTCTTTGATTTGTGAAATAGACAGTCTACTGAGGCCCTAATTATGTGTGAACAAGACATTTCCAGAATGCGTCGGCAATTGGATGAGACAAATGATGAACTGGCCCAGATCGCCAGGGAAAGAGATATCTTGGCTCATGACAATGACAATCTCCAAGAACAGTTTGCTAAAGCTAAACAAGAAAACCAGGTACACTTGTTCCTAGAATCATTTTCTCCAAGGAAAAAAATATGAATTTCTTCTGAGGAATAGCCCTCATTTCATTTTATAGAATAGCTCAGACACTGGAACTAGCCTTTTTTTTTTTTTTCTTTTTTTTTTTTTTTTTAATATAACAAAATAGGCCACATAATTTTCAAATGGAATTCTTAGGCATAAAGGATTAAATATTAAAGAAAAGAGAGAAAAGGGCTATATTTGTATTAAACCTTAGTGCTTCTTTACTAAAGGATAAATATTTGAATAAATCAACAAACGAGAATAAAAAGCTTGATAAACCTTAAAAGAATAGTTTTTTTTCAATGGACTACATATTATTCTGTTTTAAGTATGACTGTATGGACTGTGCCTTGTGTTTTGGTCCTCATTAGCACTGTGATTGTTTTTAGGAAAATTCCTCTTATAATTACTCTTTCTCCCTAAGGCAATATATTTAAATCTAACCCACAGTTCTCATTTCCAATAATATTTATTTTAACTTGAACATTTAAAAATTCTATTTGGAAAATTCCTTCCCTTCTCAAAATTTTTTAGTCCAAATGGTTTTCCCCACTTTGATATCACTTACAGTGTGTTTAGTTTGCATCATGAAAGTCTATATTCTTTAACTGTTAAAGATTATTAATTTACTTAAACAGCTATAAAGATGTAATGTTTGTTAATCATAAAAAATTATCTGGGATGTTAAAGTACTTTGTTTAAAAGTTAATTAATAATGGAATCCTGGAATAGAAAAAGGACATTATGTAAAAATGAAGGAAATTTGAATAAAGTGTGGACTTTAGATAATAATGTATCACTATTGGTTTATTAATTGTGATATATATGCCATACTAATGTAAAATGTTAATAATAGAAGTGCTCTGTGTACTTCGTTTACAACTTTTCTGTAAATCTAAAACTATTCTGAAATAAAGCTTATTTAAAAAATTAATGAATAGCAATAAAAAACAAAAGATGAGAATTTATAAGGTCTGCATTTGTGTACTCTTTACAGCTAGAGCATATGGGCTAAAGGTGGATATATCTTACTTATGAAGACCTAGAAATTTAGTTTCTGTTTTAGAAATAGAAGCTTATTTTAGAAAGTCTTTTTTTGTAAACAAAAAGTTAAGAAAGTTTTAAAAAGCCCCCAAGTTTTTAACACCCAGTTTGTCACTGTTACATTTGACATGGTTTTTTTATTGCTATTCAGTGCACTTAAAATTTTTAACACTATTTTTATACACACTTTCTAATGTAGTAGGATAAAATCACATATCACTTTATATGATGCTTTTTTCTATGTGAAGTGGCAGTAGAGTTGAATAAGATTCACCTAGGCTGAATCTCGCTGTCTGCTGTGTGATCATGTAAACCAACCTCTGAATCTCAGTGTAACATCTGTAAAAATGGATAGTAAATGAGACCATACATGGAAAACACTTACATACTGTCCAATATATCACTCTATAAATATTTTATAGCTATTATTAGCTTACTGTAATATTGTAAGCACTTTCCTGCCTTGTTCAAACTTTGTAATCATTTTTTTTTTACAAACAGAAGAAAACTGTTGTCATAACAGTTTACATATGTTCAAGAGTAGTTTTTTTCCTTCGTTATGGTCATAGACCCAAGGTAGAAGAGAGGTCTCTCTCTGTGGACCATAGGTTAAGAACTAGTATTGCAGAAGACTAGAAAGTGGAAACTTTAAAAAATTTTATCCTTGATACCACAATTTTTAACAAAATTGGGATAATGAGGTATTTTTGTGTTTTAGCATGATTTTTTCACTTAGGTGAACATTTTCCTGTATTATTAAAAATCATTCCAAATGTTTCTCATAAATAATGTAATATTTCATTATGCGGTTATGCCACTATGTAGATATACTATTATTTAGTGCATGATTCACTTAATGGGAATAAATATTGTCAGTGTAGCAAAAATGCCTTAATGACAGTATCTCATTAAATTTTATTAGATTTCATTTCAGACTGAATCATAGCATATGAGGTTTCTTTTTAATTATTATTATTATTTTTTTTGTAAAGATGGGTTCCCACTATGTTGCTCAGGCTGGTCTCAAATTCTTAGGCTCAAGTGATCATCCCAAAGTGCCAGGTGGCCAGGAATGAGCCACCACACCCAGCTGAGGTTTCTAATTTAAATTAAAAAAAAAAAAAAGTAAATGGACATTTTCAAATATATTGAATCCCTATGTGCCATCTCCCACCCTCAACAATAGTTAACATTTTTGTCTTTCTTGTTTTTATGAGCATTTAAAAATTGTCTCTTGATACACCAGATACATGATCACAGATTTGCTCTCTGCAAATCTACATTTACTCCAACAGTACATGGAAACGCCCATTCTTTGCCATAGCTGAATAGCTTTAAATCTTTATGAATTTGATACACAGAATAGTAATTCATTGTTTTAAGTAGCATATCTTTGATTGCTAGTTTAGTTTTTTTCAGGTCTTACCTACTTATGCCTCCTTTTTTGAATTGCCTGTTTGGGTCATTTGCCCACTTGCTGTTGGGCTCATGTGTTTTCTGTTTTTATATGAGTTTACATATTAGGTATGTTAATTTTATTTGTTCCAAGTATTTAAAAATTTATGGTATTTTTGAGATATAGAATTTTTTTCATAGTTAAATATACCTATCTTTTTTTCATAGGCACTGTCCAAAAAATTGAATGACACTCATAATGAACTTAATGACATAAAACAGAAGGTTCAAGATACTAATTTGGAGGTTAACAAGCTGAAGAATATATTAAAGTCTGAAGTATGTATTTTTTTTCTTTTTGCTCATGATACAGTTTTTACTAGAGTTTAGAATTGAGTATACTCAGAGGGACAGGTGAATCAGATTCTTCTTTAATACATAGTATAGTTTAGTTGTGACAATTGTGGATTAACTACATATTTAGAATGTTCCAAAAGATGCCTTAAGAATATACCCTTTTTGTTGCCACTCTAGACAAGTAGAATCTTCCTGACTGAATGATAGACAAAGGGCCAGAATCAACTTGACCTCACTTATAATTAATTGAAAGTGGTGGGGTTTTCCATTACAAACCTCTGACAAAAGAGGTTCCACCTTATTATGTATCAGATCCGAATTGATTACCCTGTTATGGGGCCATCTATTTTTTAGGACCACAAGACAGATGGTTCTCCTCACACTTCTCTGTTAGCAGTCATTTGACCAGGCAGTTGTATGTGAGATCAGATGACTCCAAATAAATGTGGCGCACGTGTGTCAACTCAGGAATAAACAAGCAGCTTGACTGAGGATTTTAGATAACGTCTATTAGGTAAAATATTTCTGACATTGAAGGAGGATGCATTAATGGTTTGAGTGGTATGTAGGTAACACCATACCTATTATAATAATCAATCCACCTATGCTCTTTTATTTATCATCTTATATCAGTCCACAAATATATCTTGAACATTTATTTATCGTATGCATAGCACTCTTAAGGATTTTGACACAGAAGAGATTCTAAGGATTCCTAAATTGCAAACCTTGCTTTTAGGCAGCAAGCAGCCTGTGTAGGAAAAGCATGTGGTTTCCTACACTTCTTGATTTTAAGGTTCCAGCAATGTAATACCATAAATGAACAGAAGGCTTTTTATTTATGCAGGCTACTCAACCTCTCTGATTCTTCCCATCTGTAATTGGGAACAACACCCAAGTAAGTGAGATAATTTAAAACACCTAGCACAGTGAGCCATCTGAATCTATTCTGGAATAGGGCAGAAATAAATAAATGAATATCTAGAGCAACATTTTTTTTTTGAGACAGGCTTACTGTGTTGCCAGGTTGGAGTGCAGTGGTACAATCTCATCTCACTGCAACCTTTGCCTCCCAGGTTCAAGGTTCAAGTGGTTCTCCTGTCTCCTGAGCAGCTGGGATTACAGGTGCATGCCACCATGCCTGGCTAATTTTTGTATTGTTAGTAGAGACTGGGGTTTCACCATGTTGCCCAGGCTGATCTCAAACACCTGACCTCAAGTGATCTGCCTGCCTTGGCCTCCAAAAGTGCTGGGATTACAGGCGTGAGCCACCGTACCCAGCCCAGAGCAACATTTAACATAGTAAGCTTTTAGCCAGTGTTACACACTTTCCTTTATTTCCCTAGTCTGTTAGTCACATTACCTGAAATTCCGCCTTTAGGGATTAAAACTTTTAGATTCTAGAATTATATTTTCAGACATCACCCATCATGCTTCTTAGGCTCAAGTGATCCTCTCACCCTGGCCTTCCAAAGTGCTGGGGATTTTAGCATCCTAGTATGAGTTTGTTTATGAGATTGCATAACACTGGATGAATGCAGGCCCTGAGAGAATGCACCACGGATCCATTTTAATAGGGATAGACCATCAAGAAGTGTGGAGTACTTCATTCATTCACGTATTCATGCAGTGTGCTAGGTGCTGGAGTGCCAAAGATGAAAAACAGAGAGGAAACAGAATGGCTCCCAGGCAGTGGGAACAACATGAGCAGAGGTGTAGGGGAAAAAATAGGTCCCGTAGGTAGAGTAGAGTGTACAAGTAGATGACAGAGGTGAGAAGGGCTTTCTTTGAACCCTATTTTCAGAAGCTTTTGTTAGAACTAAAGCATGGAAGTTATTTAAGGATTGCCTTTTAGGAAGTTTATTTTGGAGATGTCAAGAATAAGCCAGAAGGGTAACAGAATCAGAAGTGGAGATAGCAGCTAGAAGAGGTTGTAACCATAATTTAGAAAAGAAATGCAAAGGATTCCAGCTGAGGCCTATGGAGTGTTGCAGTGAGCCTGTGGGTGGCCAGAGGGAGCTGTGGAGGCACCCTACAGAAGGGGAGGCACCTTACAGAAGTGAAGAGATCCCGAAAGCAGGAAATAGAGAATACCAAAGAACAGTTTCACTTTCTTTATGGTGTTGCCTCTCAGGCTCAACACTGCTCTGGCCTCTATGGGAGGATATGAAAAGTGGTAAAATAGGTTTCTGTTTGCCAAGAAGGAGGGAGCACTGGGTGGTTGGAGTACAGGAGAGACATTCTAAGGAATCCTTTTTCACTTTGAACAGTGTACTCCCTGGTCACGAAACTAAATTTAACATAAAAAGGGGAGGCTTTACATCCACACCTAACACCACAAAGCCATAAGACAGTTTTAATTGAATGACATGGACAGTAAGTACCACAAAAAGTTAAAGAGGGTAAAGATTGATGAGAGTAAAATTCAGTTTAAGTATATTGTACAAGTACCTTCCAAGTACATTCTCTGTACACAACTATTATTTTTAGTACAATCATGGAAAACACATATCAGGTTCCTACTGACACATTTGGAGTATCTGAATCTTGAACGATAGTTTGGTATATCGTTGACTAACTCAGACTTGACAAAGATCTTTCACATTAGAGGCCACAAGGTGGCAATATTAGCTGAATTTCCACCAGTAATCATAATCGAGAGACGGTTTGTCTGATTTGAAGGAGTATTGGTGAGACATTATTCATTACAATTTGGTCATGTTATTTAGCTCAGGATTTCTGCTAGGGAAGTGCACTATTTATTAACAGGAGAGAAAGAGATCTAGTACCTTTTAAAAAATTAATTACCAAAATTCCAGCTAATTTTTTAGAATTAATTTACCAAACCATAATAAAATGTTTTTTTAAAAATAGTCTAATAATGATTACTCAGTATATTATATTGTTTGTGGAGCTGAATTTTTTCCCCTCCTTATTTCCTTACTAGAAATTAGACCCTACTTCAGTTAATCTGCTCATGATAGAATTTTGAAAGTTTAAAATATCTGGTTCTTACTTATTTAGTATATTTAGGGTAAACTGATACTTTAGATACTTTATAAACTGATACTTTAGTATATTTAGTATAAACTGGCACTTTAGTATAAACTGATACATTTAATATAAACTTATTTAGTATAAACTGAGTTTATACATGAATGCATATTTGTGACTAGTGTTTATTGGCATAGGTTTGATAGTTTACTTCTGAGCAATTTCAGGAAAGTTACTAGACTGGCAGGGAAAGTTACTAGACTAGCAGGTAAAAGATAATCATAGAACAGTTCATGATCAAGATAATTAAGGCTGCGGCTATGAATAAAAGGCAGAAACCAGACAAGAAATTATCAGAAGTTGACACTTAAAATATGCAAGTACTCAGAAGCTCTATAGCCAGCACAACGCAGTAAATTGGTCAGGCAGAAGGGAATACACCATTACAAAAGGTCAGAGGTTCAGAAGCCAGCCCAGCAAGTAGTCAATAAGCAGACATATGGGAAAAGCAGGCTGTGGAGGACTTTGAACAAAATGAAATATAAAAACAAATTCATTCGGGCCTTGAAGAAAAGAGAAATTTACTTAAATTTACTGTTTACTAGTGTTCACTGAGTGTTACTCAGGAGCCAGGGCAGATCTTGATTGCTCTGTCTTTGTTACTTACAGGATGACCTGTTTTCTAAACTAAGATTATAGATACATTTCCTCAGGGTTCTATTATAAATGCTTCTCATGGCAAGTAAAATCCCAATGACCTGGAAAATAATGTTTAATTTTTATCATATGTAGAACATTTTAAACGTTTTAAAATAATAGCTAAAGTTTGCTTTTCAGGAATCTGAAAACCGGCAAATGATGGAACAACTTCGAAAAGCCAATGAAGATGCTGAAAACTGGGAAAGTAAAGCCCGTCAATCAGAGGCAGATAACAATACCCTAAAATTGGAACTTATCACTGCTGAGGCAGAGGGTAACAGATTAAAAGAAAAAGTAGATTCCCTCAACAGAGAGGTTGAGCAAGTAAGTTTGGGAAAATATGCTTATAATACATTCTGCATCATATTTAAAAGAGTTTTGTTTGGCCTTCCATCAATTAAATTAAATGTATGAACAAACACTTATTTAAATACACTGAATTGTAGCATACTAACCATTCTCCTTATACTTTGATTCTTCTATAATTTCTTATCTACTCTACATCCAGAACAATCCTTAGCATTTGTTAAAATTAGAAACTATTTCAAAGGTACCAAAAAAAGTGGTTAAAAAAAAAAAAAAAGGTAACAAAACAGATAAACATATAAACATATCCCCACCTCCCACATGTAAGGATACTAACATTTTGCCATATTGGCTTCAAATGTCTCCTTGTTTAAAGAAATAAAATATTACAGATACAACTTCTCTTACCCTTTTCCCTCCTACTTCCCTAATTGCTGGTGTGCATAACTTTCCTGTCAGTGTGTCTAACTCCTTTGCATGTGTTTATAGTTTTTTTACAATCCCATTACCCACAAATAACGTATAATGTTGTTTTGTATGTTTTGGTTTTTGTTTAGGTGATAACAAACATGCTTGGAGATATTCATTTGCAACTTTCCCTCTTTGCTCAATATTATAATTTTGACACATCTGTTTTGATATGTATAATGTACTGCTTTACTCAAACAGTTGCTTACATACATTGTATATATATTTCCTTGTTTAAATTCATTCCCATATTGAAGGAAATTTAAATTTTTTTTCACTTTTTTCTGTGATAAAACACTGCAACAAACCTTTAACATTTCTCCTTGACTATGTGTTTCCCTAGGTTTATGCCTGGACATTAATTTTAAAAAGCTATATGTCTGGAATAGATCCAAGATATGGGCAATTTCAACTCTTCTAAGTATTGTCAAATTGCTCTCTAAAGTGTCATTCTCCCATTAGAAGTCATGAGTTATTTTCTCACACAGGAATCAATATTTGCTGTTGTCAGACAATTATTTCCATGCTTTTTTCTTGTGCTTCCTTGATTACAAGTGAAATTGAGGATCTTTTAATGTTTCTTAGCCATGTAGGATTCTTCCTTTATCAGTGTTTTCTTGAATTTCTCTTGAATGAAAGTTTTGTAAACTTTGCCCATTTTTCAATTGGGTAGCTTATCTTTTTCATATTGATTTTTAAAGGTATTCTCTATATATTCTTGATAATAATCCTTTTAAAGATATTACAATTATCTTGTTCTTGGCTGTGGCTTGTTTTTTCACTTTCCTTGCAATATAAACAGACATGTTAAATTCTGATGTACTCAGAATTATTATCAATCTTTTCCTATATAGTTTGTACTTCTATGTCTTCTCTAGGAAATCCTTTACAATCCCAAGAGCAGAGAGATATTTTCCTATATTTTCATTTAAAAGTTCTTCTAAATGTTTGAAAGTATGTGAAATCTTGCCCTTTACATTTAGGACTTTAACCTACTTTAGATTGATTTTGTGTAATTTGAAGTAGACATATGATTTTTATTTTTGTGAATAGATATCCATCATCCTTTCTTCTCTGAAGTATAAGTTAAGCCTACTTTGTCATAGAAATAAGTTCCCATACATTCTATTCCATTGGTCTATACCCTTGCCAGTAATACACTCTTATAGCTACTATAATTTTATGTTGAGTCTTGATATCTAGGAGAATTAATGTTCCCTCAAATTGTTTTGACTGTACTTAGTCCTTATTAAACTATCTCAAATAAATTTTTGAATAAATGTATCACATTTCATGATTTTATGTCTTTTTTCTTTTTTATGCATTTAAGACTGGAAATTTCTATTTTTTTGGATGCAGCCACAAGTTTTGAGGTAATGCTTTCATTTCCATTCAGCTTTTAATATCATCTAGTTTCATTATGATTTATTTTTAATTACTAAAGTTTTTTGTTTGTTTGAGACACAGTCTCACTCTGTTCCCAGGCTAGAGTACGGTGGTACAATTATAGCTCACCACAGCCTCCAGTTCCTGGGCACAAGTGATCCACCTGTCTCAACCTCCAAGTGGCTAACACTACAAGTGTAAGCCACCACACCCAGCTAACTTTTAATTTTTTTTTTTGTAGCAGTGGAGTCTTACTATATTGCCCAGGCTGGTCTTGAACTCCTGGCCTCAAGTAATCCTCCCACCTCAACCTCTCAAAGTGCTGGGATTAGAGGCATAAGCCACCACACTTGGCTTGAAGTTTTAAGAAACTTTCCAATGTACAGGGGACTTGAGGTTATTAGTCTATTTGTACTTTGTTGTGTCTCTTATTGTCTAATATTTCTAACATTGTGATCAGATAAAATGGCTTGTGACATTAATTCTTTGCTATCTGCTAAGAATTGCTTAGTAGCAGAGTATGTAATCAATATTTGATAATATCCTACATGAGCTTGAAAAGCATCTGCTCACTTCTTGGTGGAAGCATATATATGTGTTATATAGTATATATATTTACATATTAGGTTATGCTTTTTAATAGTCAGTCAAGTCTTATAAATCCCTACTAAATTTGTATTCTTGATCTCTTATTGTTGAAAGACATGTTAAGATCTTCCTCTGTAACTGTGGATTTGTTTACTTTCCTCTGAATGATTTTCTCACAGTTCTGGAGACTGGAAGTCTAAGATCGCAGTGCCAGAAGGTATGGTTTCTTCTGGGGCCTGTGTTCTTGGTCTGCAAACATCTGCCTTCTTGCTCCATCCTCACATGGTTTTTCTTCTGTGCATGCACATTCCTGGTGCTTCTCCCTATTCTTATAAGGACACCAGTCATTTTGGATTAGGACCCTACCCTTATAACTCCATTTAACCCTTATTATCTCTTTAAAGGTCCTGCCTCCAAATACAGCCACACTGGGAGGTTAGGGTTCAACATGCGTATTTGGAGGGGACACAGTTTAGTCTATAACAGGTTGTTTCTAGTTTTTGGCCATTAGGATTATAATTTTTGTGAACATTGTGTTCAAGTCTTTGTGTGCATGTAAGTTTTCATTTTTCTTGGGTGAATAACTAGGAGTGGAATTGCTGGATTATATGGTAAGTATGTTTAACTTTGTAAAAACCTGACAAATGGAATAAATAATATCTAGTATTTGATAGTACAACAGGGTGACTATAGTCAACAGTAATTTATTGTACATTTAAAAATAACCAAAAGAGGATAATTGTATTGTCTGTAACACAAACAAAAAATGCTAAAGGCGATGGAGATAAACAAAAAAACAAAATGGTTGTATCACTTTACACTCCCTCTTATACTGGGTGATAGTTGTAGTTGCTCTAAATCTTCTTTTCCCACACTTTGTGTTGTTATTAAATGAGTAAGGTTATCTCACATTAGTATGTTAGTTTACCTTTCCCTCATGACCAACAATGTTGAACACCTTTTCATTTGCTTATCGGTCATTAATCTGTCTTCTTTTGTGAAGTATCTGTTCAAATCTGTTGTCATCTTTTTATTGGCATGTTTATCTTCTTGTTACTAAGTTGTAGACAATTTTCAAACACTTTGGATTTTGGATACTTTCTCCCAGTCATTATCTTACCTTTCAGTTTTCTTTTTTCTTTCTTTCTTTTTTTTTTTATTGTCAAAGCTCTTTATTTTTTTTTCACATTAAACATGAATTTATTCTTATAAATATTAAATACCAAAATACCAAATATTAAATACCAAAATTTATTTTTGAAAAAAGGCGTCTTTTTTTTTTTTTATTACATTTTAGGTTTTGGAGTATATGTGAAGAACATGCAAGATTGCTGCATAGGTACACACATGGCAGTGTGATTTGCTGCCTTCCTCCCCTTCACCTATATCTGGCATTTCTCTCCAAGCCATGTCTCCCCAACTCTCTACCCCTCGCTGTCCCTCCCCTGTTTCCCCCCAACAGACCCCAGTGTGTGATGCTCCCCTCCCTGTGTCCATGTGTTCTCATTGTTCAACACCCACCTATGAATGAGAACATGTGGTGTTTGATTTTCTGTTCTTGTGTCAGTTTGCTGAGAATGATGGTTTCCAGGTTCATCCATGTCCCTACAAAGGACACGAACTCATCATTTTTGATGGCTGCATAATATTCCATGGTGTATATGTGCCACACTTTCCCTGTCCAGTCTATCATCGATGGGCATTTGGGTTGGTTCCAGGTCTTTGCTATTGTAAACTGTGCTACAATGAACATTCATGTGCATGGTAAAATAATTCTAAGAGCAGAAGTCTTACATTTTTTATTAAGTCCAGTTTACTCATTTTCTTTTATAGTGATAAATCTTTGCATGCACCAAGATGCATAGACTTTCTTTTAGGAATTGTATACTTTTAGATTTTATATTTAGGCCTGTGCTACAATTGAAAAAATACTTGTGTATGATATAAGATAAGGTCAAGATTCATTTTTTCACATATGGATATGAAGTTACCCAGCACCATTTATTGAAAAGACTTATTTCATCAATGAATTATCTAAGAATTTTTTCCAAAAATCAAATGATCATATATGTATGGTTATGTTTCTGTACTCTCTTCTGAGTATATTCTTAGCCAGTAACCCAGTGACTTGATTAATGTATCTTTATGGTAGATCTTGAAATGGGTTAGTGTAAGTTCTCCAAATGTGTTCTTTCTGCAAATGTTTGGCGGCTGTGGGTCCTCTGTATTCCCCCATAAATTTAGAATGAACATGTCATTTTCTACAGAAAAAAAAACGTACTTGGAGTTTGATTAGTATAATTTTGAAAATACAGATCAGTCTGGAAAGAGTTGAGATTTTAACAATATTGAGTCTTTCCCATCCATAAACATGGTGTATTCACCCATTTATTTATTTAGGTATAGGTCTTTTATTTCTCTCAACAATGTTTTGTACTTTTCAGTGTGCAGATATTAAATATATTTTGTTAAATATATGCCATATTATTTCACAGGGGTTTTTTTTTTATGACCATTGTAGAATATCTCATGGGTTTTTACAATGCCATTGTGAAAATACTTTATTCTTGAATTTT